GTTGATTAGCTCTAGTAATTTTCTGGTAGAGTCTTTAGGGTTTTCTATGTAGAGGATCATGTCATCTGCAAACAGCGAGAGTTTCACTTCTTCTTTTCCTATCTGGATTCCTTTTATATCTCAATAAAAAAAAAAGAAATAAAAGAATACCTGCTTTTAGTTTAATGAATAGAATAAGTAGCTATAGGCTTAGTTCCATAAAAACAAGCTAAATATATGTGCTATAAGCAATTTGAAAGATCACATTTGCTATATTAGAACCGAATAGGACACTTTATCAATAAGTAAAATGCCCTCTGTCTAATTTCTGTGTAATGAAAGTATCTGAAAACAAATCAGCCCTGTTTTTTTTTTTTTTTTTCCTTAAGAAGAAGCAAGCCAGTACATTTTGTTGGGAAACTTACTTGGCTTGAGAGCAAATTACTGGGGGAAATCAATTTACTTCTTAGATCATGTCAGTAGATGTGCTACATTTTGATCTTTTGATTTTTTAATATTTCATGTATATTTCCTACTTCAATAATATTACCCCCTTTTTTTAGCCTTTATGTATGTTATAAAAGACTTTGGACTGGGGTGTAGTATGGTCCCTTCCCTCATGGATCTCTTGTGGTTCCACGGAAGTATGTTTTGAAACAAGCCTTTGGATATCATTGATGGGGATAATCACTTGGGTCCATGGATGTAGTGAGCCCCACATGACAGTGAGATAAAGGCTGGGAGACTGGCGTTGCTCAGAAGCGAGGAAACTACCAGCCACTGATCTCAGAAGATATAAGGTTATTCCAGTGTACAATCCACACTCACTTCTGGAATTCAGCACTGGAAGTTAATATATTACCAGTGGGGTGGAATATATTATCAATGGGTTGGAATCCACATCTTTACTGGGGCAACACTTCTCCTTTTTTTCATTTAAGGAATCTAATGGTATTTGTTATAGGTTTCCTTAAAATAAAGCAGGCAAACAAAAATATATTTTTGGAAGGGTCCATAATTATGACCTGGGGCTTCACTATATCCTAAAGGTCCTTATTCACATAGCTTGTGGCATTTTACAAAATGAAAGGAACAAATGGGTTTCCTTGTGTCTGTTGCTGTTCATAAATTAGTGGTCCTATTTGCAAAGAGATTGCTAGCTCCGTCACAGTGCAGACAATAACTGTTCTTTATTTTCGGGGGCTTAATAATGTTCATGAATAAAGCAGGGGAACCTGAAATAATGCGCATGAATTTGTTTCCCTTCAGCTGTTTTATGAGTGTGGGATTGCCTGCTTTAAAAATATTTTGGAAATATTTTTATAAATGTTTTATGTATTTATATGCTAAAGTATGGTGTGACTCATGAAGAAATAAATGAACTTGACAGAGAATATGTTGTCTACTGTAGAAAAGCAAGTCCTATCCAGCTTTCAAATTTGCCAGGTTTTAAATCACAGCTCAAATAAGAGAATAGGGTTTGGTTTTTTTTTTTA